GTCCCACTAAGCGCAAGATTAACATTATTAAAACCCTCCTACATAGAGCATTAAAGATCTGCTCTGAGCCTTTCTTGAATTATGAAATCGATTTTATTAAGGATACCCTATGTAATTTAGGTTATCCTCTTGATACTGTTAATTCAGTTATCCGTAGTAAAGTTGAAGAGTTCAGAAGTGCCGAGCTCTACACTGTCAAAAAATTCCCATTTTATCTCAGATTACCCTGCATTGGTACCAAATGTGAAAAAATAGCTAAACAAATTTCATCCAATGTTCGTTGTTGTTTTTTCTCTGCTGAAGTTCGGATTATTTTTCAAACTCGGCGTATGTTTCGATCTGTGTGTAAAGACGTTCTCCCTCCCCATCAAATTAATTCAATTATTTACAAATACGTTTGTAGTTGCGGAGCCGACTACATAGGGAGAACAACTCAACGCTTAGACATGAGAATAAAACAACACGTTCCTACAAAAATTAGAAATCGCAACTTGCCGTTGAGTGGACTCGTCCTGAACACCTATAGTTCTGCCATATGCAAACACCTATTAAAGAACAGAGATTGTGCAGCCAAATTTAGTGTTGACTGGTTCACTGTGTTGGCCCGGTCTCACTATTTATTTCATCTGAAGTTTCTGGAGGCACTTTACATCGGGTCCCGCAAGCCTTCTTTGTGCAAACAACGTGAGTGTTTGTTGGGATTCGCTGTCATTTGTCTCTAGTTATATTTTTTTATTTTTTTTTTTTTTTTTTACAATTTTTCCTTTTATTGTACATTTTTCTGTGTTAATTTTAAATCTCCCGTTGAAGCCTGAAGAATGAAAACAGAGCCCCCCAGTTTTTTTTTTTTTTTTTTTTTAATATGTCTAGTAATATTAAGTTTTATACTTTTATTTCGATCATATATATATATATATATATATATATATATATATATATATATATATATGATGTAATGAATATGCATACACCTGGGTTTCTCCTCACAGTAATATGATTGCCTGGTGTCAGCCATAAATACAAAATGATGTGGCAAAACATGGACAACAACCTATTGTCTTCACCTATTGCCTACATCTACAATGAGGACCAGTCCATTACGGTTACCTGCTAGATTGTCCCACTCGGTTACAGTAGTCAACAACCACTTTGCTACCTCAACAAATATATCCCTTTCCAGAACATATCAATATATAATATTATATATATATATATATATATATATATATATATATATACACACAAACACATACAAGTTTCATTAAAGTTGAGTCACAAGGTAAGTTTTTCATTCATTTTTTTGTGTTCATATAAGTGCTTTCTTCTCTGGATATAAATTGTGTAAAAACTGTTCACATGCTCTATATATTCAAGAGCTTTTGACTATTCTATTAACCATTTTCAGGGATTTAAAAAAATTTTAACTGAATCTGTAAATTTTTATATATGTATATCTGTAGTGATGAGAATATTTTTATTATTTCAAAAACATGGTCAGCACATGTATAAAAGTGATTACTGGCCAAATAGAATTAATATATATATAAATATATAATGATGTCAACCCAACATATAAATAGGAATAAATATAAATATTATAATTCCAGCACTCGAAAATTTTCTTCAGCATGAAACTCTGTGTTGTACAATTAATGTAAGATATTATGTATATTATTTTAATTTATATATATATACATATATGTATATATATATATATATATATATATATATAATGTATATATTTATATATATATATATAAGGTATGTAAATGTATATATATATATATATATTCATATATATAATATATAAATAATATGTATATACATATATATATATATAATCATTATATATATCATATATATATATATGGATATGTATATATAAATTTATACAATATATATATTATATATATTATATATATATATATAATATATATAATATGTATATATATATATGTATGTAATATATATATATATATATATATATATATATATATATATATATATATATTTATATATTTATATATATATAAATAAAATGTTTTATATATGTATATAAAATGTTTCTTATATATATATATATATATATATATATATATTTTATATATATATATATATATTTATATATATATGTATATATATATATATATTATATTATATATATATATATATATATATATATATATATATATATATATAAATATATATTATATATTTAAATATAAATAACATTCGACAAAAGGAAATGATGAATTTTTTTATTTTATAAAACTCTTTAACTTTGTACAGTATGAACATCATTGTGAAAACAAAGTAGCAATACATCATTTCAGTTTTAAATATATGTGTATCATAATGTATAGAACTGCTTTGTAAGGGTTATCTTCATTGTCAGTCCCATGATCTGGAGTGGTCATAGGGTTGTGGTACAACTATGCTCCTGTTGAGTTCCTTCCATATATCTGGGTTAAAAGCCAAAGTGTCATGGGCAAGTGAACATGCCTGAATCGGAGATTAAAGTGGGGATTTGAAGGATTGAAAAACTCAATCTTTGCCCTCTAATTTGGCAGAATTGGCGGTCGATCCTGCCAGTCAGGTTTGAAGGTAAAAACAAGCAGCCAAAAGAATTCCCTTTCTGCTAAATAATGTTTAATAATGCTAAATAATTGTTGAATAATTTTAAATAATCTTTCATAATGTTTTTGCTAAATAATGTGAAATAATGTTTTAGTACTTCCATAATGTTCAATCACATTGATAGTGTTAAATAATGTTTTAGCACTTCCATAATGCTTAATAATGTTAAATAATGTTTTAGCACTTCCATAATCTTACTTATTATAAAACGCAGATTGTGTGTGTGTGTGTGTCTGTAATGTTTATATATTGAGTCGGATTTCCTACATTTTTCAACCGATTTCAACAAAACTTCACAGGACTACATAAAATTACTTTGTGGTGGTTCTAACAGCACAAAAATGGAAAAAATATAATTGTTTTAAAAACAAAATCAATTTGAAAACACAATTAAGAGACATTGTGAAAATGGAAGGGGACAACTCATCGGATTTCCTATATTTTAAAGCCAATAAAACAAAACTTCACTTTATTTATAATAAAATTCTATTCAATTGGGAGACTCATAACGATTGAAAACAATGTTTTTGTTTGAGTTTGGGTTTTTGACCAATTCGTAAAAAAAAAAAAAACTAACTAAGACATGCGTGTCCGTCAACCTTAAAACAATAATCTTTGTCAGTTTTTCTTTTTCAGTCTTTATGATGGTGGATACTTGATCTAAAAGGGAAACTGTTATATCCCAAAAGGGCAAATCGCCGGGCTCTACTACTAAAAAAATAATTTTCAATGTTTTTTTTAAATATAATCCTTAATAATGTTTCAATCATGCAGCCTGATCGCTTTTCTAAATGGCATGCCTAATTTCATAAGGAACGTAACATTTATTAAAATATTGTTTGTTTCCTTTCATTCTCACTTATTCACTCACATACTCTCATGCATAACCACACACAGAAAGATGTTCTAAGCTCAATATTTCTTGAATGTTGTAACATTTTGCTGAAGGTTATGTTGTCAGTATTTGAAACCATTGGCAATTTTCAGTAAGGATGATCATACGTGTAAAAACATCTTTTGCTTCAGAAACAGGAATCATCAATGGTAATTCTTCTTTTACAAATATTTTTGTCAACTCAAATAAATAAGGACACATGGCAAAATGGATAAAGGCATTGGTTAGATCCAGTGACAGGACCCAAAGAGTGTGAGTTCAATACTTGGTTAAGGCAGTGGAGAACTTGGAGAGGGGAATTAACAGATAGATAACTGACATACATTAGACATGGCACGTGGAACTAGAACAATCTACTCCAGTGAGTAAAATAAAGGTTCAGTTTGATGTTCCAACTACCTGAAGAAGGCCGGAGTGTATAACGGCTGAAACGTTGTAATAAATATAGTGACAAAGATGAGGACAATAGTCCAAATAATGTAAATAGTGTACAATAATACCTCATCTCAGAAATATAGACAGATACTCAAATAAATAAATTAGAAACCAATCATATCCAGCAATGTGTGTTAATCATGCTGTCATCAGTGATAATATTATAAAGAGACTTCGATTTTTTTAATTATACGAGGAATCTTTTCTCCAAAGAAAAAAATTATCAGCTTTTCCACATTTCTAAGGCAGATGTATTGTTGGGAGAATGGCTGTGGTATCTTTAACAGGAAAAAAAACAAAACTTAATTCTTTTAGTACTATGGCCCACCTTATAATGTACTGTACCTCATGTGGCCAAAAATTGAAAAACGGTTGCCCATACCAGCTTTAAATAATGTTAAATAATATTTATGTTAAATAAAATGTTTTTTTTAGAGATTAAGAATTTTTTTGAATCACTTTCCCATCGCCGTAAAGCCTCTGCCTTTTCTATAAATACTTTCATGGTAATTGTTCGGCTGAGCTCTTCACCATGGTACCTAGAGTTTTTGAATTTAAGCACAATACTAGACTGGCATTGTGATATCCTCAATTTAAAGTTTAGCTGGCTCGATGTAACCAGAAATTCTATGCTAACAGTTTCTTTTCTCACACTTCATTCTTGTGGAACTCCCTTTTGGCTCCATGCTTTCACGCCAACTTTAATCTACAGAAATTTAAATACAATGTCAATCGCTATCTACTGTCCTCTTGATTACTCTTACTTATTCCTGGTCATTATTAATGTTACTGTTCCTAATTCTACCCTTGTAACCCATTGTATCTTAGTGGCTTGATACTGATTAAAATAAAAAAAATAATGATTTAGTGATACAAGTCCTACTGATACATAGCGGGTGAGAGAACACGATTCATACCCCTTCTGAAGGGTATTTATGCATAAATGAATATAACGAACCTGACTGGAATTGGAACTCGGCACTCCAATTTCCATTTCTGAGCTGTTATCCATTACACCACCTGCACATTCAAGCTTACAGCAGCTGGTCTTCCCAAGTGATCACCAATCTAGGTACTGACCAGGCTCGATGTTGCTTAACTTTGGTGATCATATTAAAAAAAAACGGTGTTTCAATGTGATATTGCCATAAGCTTTCAAAGTTCACTGGAAAGAAAAAAGCCAGAATAGTGTTCCACAAGTGAGAAGTGCGAGAAAAGAAACTCTTAGCATAGAACTTATGGTTACATCTAGCCATTTCCACAGAAAAATAATGAGACCTAACTGCCAATCTAGTACTCTGCTTCCATTTGTACAATTGTGGTACCAAAGTGGAAGACGCATCAGAACAATTACCATGAAAATATTTTTAGAAAAAGCAAAAGGAAGCGACATTATGGCAATGGGAAAGTGATGGAAGCTAAGTTGCCAGATCAGGATTGCTAAGATTGCAGATTTTTTTTTTTTTTTTTTTGATTTTATCCATAATCTCTAGATACATAGCCGAAGCGCCAGACCAGATTTGGCAACATTATTCTATGCAAGGATGAATGGTTGACTTACAACTTTGTAGGATAAATTCTGGCGAGAGAAATTGTCTAGCACATCGCAGTGAAGCAACTTTCTTAGCAACAAACCTAGCAATTAATTTAACAAACACTGTCTATGAAAATGTTATTCCATTTATATATTTTTTTATTTACATTTATTTTTTATATCTATACTTATTAATATTTATGTGAATTTGTTCTCAAGTCAAAATAGAATTATTTTGTGAATTGCTTGGAGGCAACACACACATGATAAAATCAACATTCCTGAACAAATTGAAGATTATCAGCATCTTTTAAAAGCAGTTGATACAAAATATATTGACTTTACACGTATCATATTCATTTTAGATATTTAGAAACTCGGCCAGTTCTGTGTACAGTTAAATCTCCTCTTTTTATAGTTGAAATGGCTAGATCGAACTGTAAGTTCTAGGCTAATAAATAGATTCTTCAATCACACAAAGTCTCTTCTGGCATCTTGCTTTCCAGCCGACTTTGATCCTCAAAAATTTAAATGCAATGTCAATAGTAATCTTCTGTCTCCTTAATTGCTGTTCTTTTATTGCCTTAATAATAATTTTTTTTTTTACTCATATTCTTTCACACTCAGTAATCCCTTTATTGCCTTGCTTGGGCTGAAATGATTTAAAAAAATCAGGAGGGTCTGTCATGTTATATTTCCCAAAAGGAAAATGGGCAGGTCAGTGGCGTTCTCTTTGTTCTTGATGGGACCAGGTAGTTTTCTCTACTCTCTTAACTGCCATGGTTAATCATAACATGCTTTTCTGCAGTCTAAATAGCAACTTGACTTTGTCACCACACAAACTGACATAACTCACCAGCCGTCATTTATCCACATGCATTCAACTTTTACAAAAGAAAGATAATTTCCCTTTGAAAATAATTTTGATAATATCAACAACCATGTGTCTTAGTGGCTTTATCGCCTTGTTTGGGGTGAAATGATTATAAAAAGAGAAAAGACGTGTACATTTGCGAGTTGATAAATAAACATAGTGAACAGGCACAATGGTAGAACTTTTGATTTACATGATACATATAGAGATTTTCCAAGCATAGCTTAAATGTGGCACAAGGCCGAAAGTAGGGTGCACCCAGTGAGGATCGAACTCACTACTCAGTTGTAAGTGTTCTAGCGAGACAAGCTTGCTAACCATTACACCACCTCAAGGTGCTCTTTACATGATACGTATATGTGTCTGATCATTATGTTGAACTGATCTCATAATAAGCATTTAATGCTACACATCACACCTTCTCACACATTCTACATCTTCTATGAGCTGTGTCCCTCCACGACAATGGTGATCATGGCTCTCCACAATTTCCTCTCCTGTGTAGCTCTTCAATAAATTTTTCTTTCGGCTATCTTTCCTAATCCGTGTTCTGCCATCCATTTACACAAGCTTGTTATTCATTTTACATTTTTCTTCTATGTGTTGTGTTCCTTTAGGATGTTCGCGATCATGGCTCTCCACAATTTCTTCTCTTGTGTAGCTCTTCAGTAATTTTTTCTTTCGGCTTTCTGTCCTTATCCTTGTTCTGGCATCCATTTACACAGATTTGATATTCTTTTTTCTCTTCTTCTTCTATGTACTTTAGGATGTTGGTGATCATGGCTCTCCACAATTTTCTCTCCTGTGTAGCTCTTCAGTAAATTTGTCTTTGGGCTATCTTCTCCTTATTGATGTTCCTCCATCCATTTACACAAGCTTGTAATTCTTTTTCCCTTCTTCTTCTATGTGCTGTGTCCTTTTAAGACACTGTTGATTATGGCTCTCCACAGTTTCCTCTCCTGTGTAGCTCTTAGTAAATTTTGTCTTGCCAATTATGTGCCCTAGAAATTTTAGCAGTCTCTTCCTGATTCTAAATAAATATATTTTTTTTGTTCCCATTTTATTTAAAACTGCCCTTTTGCTTACATGCTCCATTCATGATATTCTCAAAATCCATCTGTTACCTCAAGTTTCCTCTATGTCTGTAAGGAAATTGTCTAGCATTCACTGCCATCTAGGACAGTTGATATTGTTCTGGTATATGTTAATAAGAATGGACCATTTGTAGATGTCTCTTTATTAACATGACCACACAATTTATATTTAATGCAAAATACCACAAAATATGAAACACAAGAAGGAACACAAACGGTTTTATAACAACAACATTTATGTTTATTTTTTGTGTAGTGATGTACATGCGTAGAGGTTACTATTTGTTGGTGTTATGTCCCTTTGACTGAATTAAAGTTTTACTGATGAAATTGAAATATTTTTATCTGAACTCACAAAAGTTGAATGAATTATAAAGCTGAAAAAATGCTGAATAAACTATAGCTTTAGAAAAGTATTTCAAAGAGAAAAGTTCTTGTTGCTTGTTGGAAATGCTTTGTATGTTTGTAATGTAGTTTGGAAAATTTTGTACGTACGTGCATGCATAAATATGCTTTTGACGTCTGACTGCATGGTCGAGACGATTGCAGGAAAAGGGAACAGAAAAGAGAGAGAGAGCAGCAAGCTTGCATCTGCTATTTATAATTAATGCAATCATGTGACAGGATCAAAGAAAATTGGTGGGAAACTTGACTTGGTCACGTGCTGGAAAAATATTTGTACATGGGTAGATTGCAATGCCCACTTGTGCGTATTGACCAATTAGAAGCTGATATTTCCTGAAAATCTGTATGAAGCTGAATAAAATTCTACATTGATAAGAAAGTGGTAGCAGGATGCTATAATATTATATAGCAAGTCAGCACTCTTTTCTTTTAAGTGTCTTTTTCCTTAAAACTTCCTTATTTCTCACATATTCAGTCCATGGTATTCTTATCCACCTTCTGTAGAATCACACCTCTGTTGCCTTACATTTCCTCTTCATCTGTGAGGAAATTGTCCAGCATTCACTGACATATTCCAGCTCTCTTTTCTTTGTTTCCATCAAATCAGTATACCTGTTTCACTTTTCAGAGGAGATTTTACAGGCATGAAATGAAGGCTGAGAAAAACACTTCCTGAATTATTGGCCTGCAATATTGATATTTACAATAAAGCTAGCAAAAGGATATCACAGACAGGATATATTAGAAAATTATGATAAAATTTTTGATTGATGGAATGATTAAAAAAGTAAATTCTCTAAAGCAGGTATAGAAATGTATTGTCTTGATTTAATTATTATGAAGTCATTTTAAAGTTTGTTTTAAACAGGAAAGAGAAAGGCCTTTTTAAAAATGGTTTTCATGAAAGAGATTGTCATACAGTCTTCCTACCTGGGTGAAAGAGATTGTTGCAATGGCAATCCTCCTGCTGTTGTAAAAGTGAGCATTGCAAAAATTGGTGTTCCTACTGGGGTTGAAGGTGAGCATTGTAAATATGATCTTTCTTCTGGGACAAAAGTGAGCATTGCAATGACAGTCTTCATACCAGGGTGAAAGAGAGCATCGTAAAGATGGTCTTTCTGTCTGGACAGAAGTGAGTGTCACAAAGGCTGTCAGTCTTCTTACCAGAATGGAACTGAGCACCACAAAGAAAATTTTCCTATCAGTGTGAAAGTAAATGCTGCACAGAGGGTTTTCCTACCAAGGTGAAATTGACCATCACAAACATGGCCTTCCTACCAGAGTGAAATTGAGCATTATAAAGTTGGTCTTCCTACAAGGGTGAAATCAAGTGTTGCAAAGACAGTCTTCCTATCAGAGCGAAAGTGAGCCTCCCAAAAATGGTCTTCCTACTGTAATGAAAGTGAGCGTCTCAAAGCTAGATTCCCTATCTGTGTGAAAGCGAGCGTCTCAAAGATAGATTCCCTACCTGTGTGAAAGTGAGCGTCTCAAGGATAGATTCCCTACCTGCGTGAAAGTGAGCATCTCAAAGATATATTCCCTACCTGCGTGAAAGTGAGCGTCTCAAAGATAGATTCCCTACCTGCGTGAAAGTGAGCGTCTCAAAGATAGAATCCCTACCTGCGTGAAAGCGAGTGTCTCAAAGATAGGTTCCCTACCTGCGTGAAAGCGAGCGTCTCAAAGATAGAATCCCTACCTGCGTGAAAGCGAGCGTCTCAAAGATAGAATCCCTACCTGTGTGAAAGCGAGCGTCTCAAAGATAGATTCCCTACCTGCGTGAAAGCGAGCATCTCAAAGATAGATTCCCTACCTGCGTAAAAGCGAGCGTCTCAAAGATAGATTCCCTACCTGCGTGAAAGCGAGCGTCTCAAAGATAGATTCCCTACCTGCGTGAAAGCGAGCGTCTCAAAGATAGAATCCCTACCTGTGTGAAAGTGAGTGTTACAAAGACTGTTTTCTTACCAGGGTGAAAGCGACCGTCGCAGACATGGTATTCCTCATGGAATAAAAGTGAGCAAAACATGGTTTTCCTGCCAGTGCGAAAGTGAACATTGCAAAGACAGTCTTCCTATTTTAGTGAAAGTGAGCATTACAAAGATGATCTGACTACGGAGGATGTACTTGCACAATTTTAATATCCACTGACTTTATTACTCCTGCCAATACGCCTGCTGGTGTTAAATACACTTTCCAGTCTAAAATAGTAAATATTTCCAGGAAAATAAATAGATATAAAGAAG